CCAGGGCGCGGAATCGCTGCTTGGGGACGGGCTGTGGATCACCGGGTGGTGAGCAGTTGTTGCATTGTGTGTTACTTGGTTTTGTGTATGCCTTTATCAGGAATGTTATTATTATTATTGTCATTGTTGTTGTTTCCTCTTTCTTTGCTGTCCTGTTAAGCTGTTTTTTTCTCAACTCGTGATATTTTTTCTGATTCTCTCCCCCATCCCACCCTGGGGCTGGGGGAGGCGAGCGAGCGGCTGCGTGGTGCTTAGTTGCCGGCTGAGGCTGAACCATGAGACTTCTGTGGACCCAGAGCAAGAGGCTCAGCTTGAGGAAGCCTGACATACACACAAACGTCACTCTTTTTTGTTTCAGTTTGACTTTGTTGAGCTCCTTGATGGAAGACGTCTACTGACACAGGAGGCGAGAAGCTTAGAAGGACCTCAGCGGCAACACAGAGCTTTTGTGCCCTTGTCCAGCCATGAGACAGGATTTATCCAGTATTTAGATTCAGGAATATGGCATTTAGCCTTCTACAATGATGGCAAGGAATCGGAAGTGGTTTCTTTTCTTACTACTGCTGTCGGTAAGGATTTCCTTTATTATTCCCAAACTCCTAAACATGCCTTGAGGCCAGATATTAACGCACATACTCAAATTGCATGGTGACTTTGTGTGGTTTCGGAGAGAATGCTTGTAGGAGAATGTATTTAGCAACAAGCTGAATACTGTTAAGCCCTAAATATCTCAAATATTACAAAATAAATATTACAAAATAAGTATTTTGTAGGCCTTTTTAATAACTATAACGAGATTCTACCCAGTGCCAAAGATGAATTACAAGCTTGAAATTCCCTGCTTAATTTTCTTCCTTCGATCTTATTTTTTTTTAATTTCTTTTTATTTTGTTTGTTTGGGTTTTTTTCTCTTTCTGGAGCAGAGGTATAGGAATGATTGAAGAGCACACAGCAGCACCATGCAACAGTTTTGTGTGACACCACACTGCCTTTAAACACTGCCAAAATTACTCACGCTGAAGTTCAGGCAGAGTACTGGGGTTAAAACTCTTGTAAAGAGCACTGCAAGGCTTGGTAGTAGGAACTACAATAACAGGAATCTCTGTTTCTCCTTGCTAACAGAAAGAAGAACAAAATAACTAAAGAGGTCTCAGTTTCTCTGGCAGTGAAGTGCCCTGCCAGTGCAGCACACAGGCACTGATTTGTTGCCATCCAAGGAGGAAAGGATGCTGTCTGTGGGCTGCCTGACAGCCTAGCACGCTGGGCATTCTTCCTCCACCCTGTAAATATCAGAATCTGTTTCTGATTCAATAATATTTAATTTTAAATTTGACTGACCTGCTGAAACTGTTCATATATCCAAATTCATTTGATGATTGTAATTTAAAGATTGCTCCGTAAAACTAGCACTCAGCTTTCTTCTAACCACAGTGATTGTTTAATGGACTTTTTTTCTTTGCTGAAAAAAACAGACTCATTCCAAAGCTTCCATTAATCCCTCTCCCAGAAGAGGCATTGGTGTTGAGTCTCAGCTGTCTGCAATAGTTACCTAAGAGCTATGGGCTGTAATTTGTCTTGGCAGGTTAATTAAAAGTTTAGGTCTTATTAAAGCAAAGTCATTAAGATCCCAATATTCCATTTTAGCACTAAAGTTTATCTAATGCAGAAGTGGAAACACTGCCATAATACTCTGTGTTAAATTTAGAACCTGGAAATGCACATGTTCAGTCCTGTTCACAGTTAAGCAACACCAGAAATAGTTGCATGTTAACTTAGGAAATTGAAGTCTTGGTCTATAGAATGTGGATTTACTTTCATTTAGTTTACTTTAGAAATTTGAGTTTTAACTTACACCGACCGCCTTCTGTCCAGAAGAACCTCCAAGTATTCTTCTGAAAACAACTCTTTTTTCCTTGTCTAAGAATTTCTTCAGTTTAAAATTTCCTATCACAGGAAAATCAGTAAGGCTCTCACAGCAGAAATCACTCTTACAGCACAGTCACGAGATGTTCTTGTTTTCAAAGTGATGCTAAGTGTTCTAGGCAGACTTTTCTCTTGGCCTCGTTACACTAACATAGTCAGGGGAAAAAAAAAAAGATGAAACTTTCTTAATTTGCCTTTGAACAGTAGGGGAATGGTGTTGGTGAGAAACTTGTCAGACTGTCTTTAAGGCAATCCTATGTCTTTTGTCTGTACTCTGCTGTACCTTCACGATCATACGATAAGCAGAACAGTCCATGATATATTCCATACATCCCCTGTCGACCTTGAATCATTCTGTGTTTCAGTACAAGGAAGTTTTCTTTTGCTATCCAAGAGAGAGCTTTGCCCCATACATGGGAATCACTTTGCCCACTGGTAGCTGTATATCAACACAAAGCTATAGTGTACAGGAAAACCTCTTTAGGTACAAGCTGTGCTCTTTGAAATTCACTTGAGATAAGTAAAAATTTTAGATAGGAAGACGTGGCTTCTTGGCTAGAATTTGGCCAGAGAAGCGCAGCGTTTTTATAAGTACCATAAAAAGATGTAATAGACTTCACAAGTTGGTACCTTTCTTCTTAGTCTTCTTTCAACAACTTGTTTAAAAAAAAAAAATCAAGGCAGTTTTTTTGTGTAAATGTACTGTAATGATTCAGAACCTTTCTAGTGTATTCATGAGGTCTGGCAAGACATGCTAGATATTAAGACTATAATACTGTAGTACTGTAGTGTTATAGTTTTTGTCAGTGCCAGAGTAAAGAGGATTCAGCAACCTGACACAGTGTTTATGAAGCCGGGTGTAAACTTGCAATGCCAAACAAATAAATCAAGTCACGCGTGATGGGAGCCTTAGATGTATCTGTGTGGGGTAAGGAACCTGCAGAGGAGTTGTGTTGGCTGTCAGAGGCAAGCTGCTATTTAATTTTGATTTCTGTGGCAGGAGCGCATAGAAAAATCTCCCTTTCTTATTGCACTGACATAGGGCTAACAGTGAGAGTGTGTTTGAAAAGTACAGCTGTGCTGCAGGAAGAAGTAGGATCCGGTGATCTGAGGACCAGCAGCCTGGAACTCCTGAATTCTGACTGATGTGCTAATGCTGACCCCGCCCAGGCTCATGCTTCAGCTGCTCACCACGTAAAACTGAGGAGAGTGACATTGCCCCAGAGATGCTGCTGGGGTGGTAGAACTGCTGGGAAAATACATTAAGCATTAATTAATAATCACGGATAATAGTAGAAAGCGCAAAATGGATAATGGTGATCATAACGGTAAGTCCATAAAGCCAAACTGTGCAGTCCTTCAGGCAGACCTCCCCTGCGAGTGAGGACTCACCTGAGCAAAGGACCATGGCTTCTACTTCAGCAGTAAAAATGCTGAATGGAAAGGGTGCTGATTTTCCAAGTGTATCTGCTATGTTCTAATAGACTGAACTTTTCAGAGCCAGTGAAATCATTGCAGACTCTGTATGACAATATCAGCTGCAATTACGGTGCAGTGCTTGTCTGGAATGATTTGGCCTCCGTTATTCAACAGAAAACTGGAGAAAAATGGGAAAAAAGCATCTGTATTCCCAGTTTGATAACACACAGTTAATTTCATAAATTGTGAGGCTGTCCATCACACAGTTTTGAAATCCGATATAGCTATAACTAAATCCACTCAGGATCATCAGCACTGGCTTTGAGGGCAGGAGATGGCAGTTTAGTCTGTTTTCTAAAAGGGTGTGGAACCATCATCACTAAAGAGTTAGGTGGTGTTAAAACGTGTCCCTGTTCCATGCCGCTGCACGGAAACCTGGGGAGAGCACAGCGTCGTAATGCCTCTCAGAGCTTATACTTCTGCATAATATAGGTGATTCAGGTGGAGAGAAAAAAAGTTTTCATCTTTTAATAGCATTTTTATATCCCATTCCTCTGAATTACAATGCAAGGCATTATAAAGGAATGGACAATCAAAGTCTCTCAATAATAAATTAACCTTTTTGTAAATGACATTGGCGGCACTTTCTGAAATTTCTAATAGAAACACTTCTCTGAAAAGCACCTTGTGGATTCACCTCTGCGTGATAGTGGTGATTTATTCAGAGCAATCTTGTATAAGTGGAGCAAAATAGTAGTCTGAGGAATCAGCTGGAATCAGCACATCTGAGACAGAGATGCTGGCCAAAAATCTGCTCAGTAGAATCAAGAAACATCCGAGAACCTGAAAACAGCATCTGTGGACTCAGAGAGAAAGTGTCTTCCAGCAGCTGCCACTGCTGAGCTCGGGCGAGCTTGGCCGTGCAGGGCCACAGAGAAATCAAAAGGAAAAGCAAAATCAGCTGTCTGTGAGACAGAACATCTCTGTTGACCAGCACGGCACCCCACAGGCGACAGGAAACACAGGTAGAACACCCGTGACAGGATGCAAGGCTTTACCTCGCTTTTATCTTCTGCAAGAGGCACCGCTTAAGTTTAAGAAAAGGACCGTTGTTCCTCCCACCCCCTCCGCTATCTATAAAGAAAACTACTGTTAAGTACTTTCCTCCATCGAAGTGCAAAGCGAGCTGGCAGTGTTATTTATAAGGGGCTGCCAGCACATACGGCACTTTGCAATACACGTCAAAAGGCAAACTCCCTTCCTGCAACAGCCTCAAGTGTAACGCACCCCCACGCAGCCCCCAGGACAGTGGGTCGCTCGCGAGGGGGTCAGCGGCAGAGTCCTTCACCGCAGGACTGAGCTTAGAGAGGAGGGAAAAAATTACAGGGCACAGAGGCAAGCGTGGAACTGGGAACCCTCCTTGTGTGAGAGGGGACAAGAATGACTCTTCCTTAGCTCTGAGTGCAAATGCCTTTGTGTTTCGCTTGTTCTGCACAAAGGGAAAAGGAAGAGTAGCTCAGATTTGCATCCCTTACTTTCACGTCCTATGCGTATGCTACCTTAAACTCTATTGACTTCCTTTTCAGAGGGGATGCTAAGTGTGATCCACTTACAGTTTGAAAGACATTCCCGTTATTTACACTGGCTTTGCTAACGTCTGGAAAAGTCTAAATTGGTTTCATGCAAATATTGAGGAGTCAAGAAACTGTGCAGACTAACATGGGGTGTGATCGGTTCTGGCTTACACTTCCCTTTAGCTCCTTAATGCCTGAGTTACTTGACTTTAAGCTCCCCCATGTACAATTGGATCTTCAGGACTCTGAATAAGGAAAAGTGTTTTTTTCCCAGCTGCACTTTTCTGAATTTCTCCTTCGGCTATATCCAGCAAAAGAGGCTGAAAGTTTAGCAGGTACTTTGCTGAATCAGGACCCTTTAACTTCAGTGAGACTCCAGCTGCTCCATGGAATTGCTCCCTTGTTCTCCCCTACTGCATGAATGTGGTCATCTTACCCCTTCCCCTGTTTCACTGAGGGACTTCTGAGCACTTCCACCTTGTGGTAACCCTCCACAGATAATTAATTAGTAGCCTGTTCCTTCCCAGACTCACAATTCTTTTCTTGCTCTGCACAGAAAAAGAAATATAGCGGCATATGAGAACCATGGCAGCGAGGAAAATCACAACTTCATTTCTGAGGTTATTGATCTCTCCTGCAAAATAACAGCAGAG